ATGTCCAGGGCCAGGCTGCGAGGGGCTTACAATCACTTCTGTTCACGTCCCATCCGCCAGGACTGGTCAAGGACCCTTCGTGGTTGCACGAAACATGGGGGTGTTCTCTTCCTGATGGGGTACAGCTGATAGTGAGATTCTGGGAAGTCTTTGAAAGTAGAGTGCAACTGGGACACATTGACCTCTCTTGGCCTCAGTTTCCTCGTCTATAAATAGGGATTTAGTTGTGGCTTCCTGGCAGGATTGTAATTAAATGTGTGTGCAGTCCCTAACAAGTGCCAACCACACAGTTGGTGCCCAGAGGTGGGAGTTATTTTCATTATCAGCATTCCAGAAAGTTTGCAAATATCTGAGGAGAAAGAGGCAGGGAGCATTTTTAAGGTCACAGCTGGGTGGCAGCCAGGGACCATGACAGCTATTCAGTGGATTATTCAGTGGTGAAATACTGCCTTCCCTGCTGTAAGCAGCATGGCCTTGAGTGCCCCTCTGTGCCCCTGTCACTTGGATCCCCAGTTATCCAGTAACTGAAGGGGAGCAGGGGTCTCAGGAGCCTGTGCCAGTGCTAAAGCCAGCGTCCTTCTGACAGGGCAGTGTTCATGCTATAGCTTATTTCTAACAGCACCCTGGCTGTCATCTCTCAGGGCAGACACCCCCAGCCCCCAATATCTGCATCTCTTCCATTCCCAGGGATTTCTGTTCCTCGTTGAGAACCTAGCACCCCAGATGAAGTCTTGGGCTCCCGCCAGGCCTGGCCTGTCCAGCCTGTGCTAGATCCTACTCCTTGGAGTCTCTGCTCCGTCTCAGGCTCCCTGATCCTGGGGCTGTCTGACTCACCCGTCCCTGCGTGCACTGTGAGGAGAAGAGAGAATTCAGTGACTGCAGGACGCTGGGCTGAGCTCCTCCAACCTCACATGTCCTTTCATTCTCACAGCTATTTCAGGGGGACGGGCACCGCTGCTGTGCAGAGGCCCAATGTGATGGAGCTGGGATTCTCAGACAGGCTGTCCAGCTCCAGTTCAAAGCGGTTTTGCCCTGGGAGGGCTTCCCAGGGTGAGCCTCCGCAGCCACCTGCCTCCCGCACTCACAGCCTAGACGGTGCTCCTGGCCTGACCTCTGCAACCTTTCTCGAGCTGGCCCCAGATCTCCTTTCCAGCTTCTGCCCCTCTTCCCCCTTGGACCCCACACCCAGCCACCTCTAGGTCTTCACCGTTCCCAGAAAATGCCCTGCCCTCTCTCTCAAGCCCCAGTGAGAGCCCTCGGACCTCCCCAGGGAGAATAAAATCCTCCTGTGTCCTGTGTGCATGGCTCAAGCAGCCGTCTCCGCCTGTCTGGTAATGATTACCTGGGCATTTGTCTCTGCTGCTGGCCTGGGGTCTTTGAGGACATGGTATGTGTCCTGTTCATCTTTCTGCCCCAGCACCTGACCACATGACACACACAAGGTAAACACCAGTGAAGGCCGCTGAAGGACTGACTGCATGCCTGCCCCTCTCTGTTCTTTGAAGCTGCGTGAGTTAAACATTAGGGGCTTTAGGCAGAGCAAGAGAGGGGCTTACATGACCCGAAGCCCCCTAGGGAGGGTGCTGACCTAGCTAATAGCAAGGCTGTGTTTTGTTTCTCTGTTGGATCCTGTTCTTTATGTGAGTCGCTCCTCCTGATGAGAACCCTGTGGGAGGGAGGGGTTAAGGGCAGGATTCAGGCAATTGCAGGTTCCTGGTTGTAAAACCATCTCGACATCATCAGACTTGTCCTGGAGTCCCCGGAGCTGCTGTATGTGAACCCAGCAGTCGTCTGGGTGTTGGGTATGGCGAGCAAACAGCCCACTCGGCTTGTCACAGATCCTCTCGACCCTCCGCATATCCATTCTCTGCCTTAGGTGACCATGCCAAGTCTCCTCACCACTGGACTTTGGGGGCCTGGCATTGGTGGTCAGTGAGGGGAATGGAAAGGGCCTGGGTCTTGGATTCACACAGATCTGGGTTTGAATTCCAGCGTAGCCACCTCCTATCCATGTGATCTTGGGCAAGTTGCTTCAACTCTGAACCTGTTTCCTCATCCATGAAATGGAGGTGACATCAATACCTAACTACTGTGGACTGAATTATGTCACATCCAAAGTTTGTGTATCAAAACCCTAACCCTCAGTGTGGTGGTATGCAGAGGTGGGGCCTGTGGGAGGTGATCAGGGTTAGATGAGGTCATAGGGGACCTCAGGGTGGCATTAGTGCCTTTGCAAGAGACACGGAGAGCTTGCTCACTCTCTCACTGCCACGTGTGGACAGCAAGAAGGAGACCATCTGCAAGCCAGAAAGAGTCACCAGACACCAAAACAGGTGGCACTTTGATTGTGGATGTCCAACTTCTAGAAGTGTGGGAAAATAAATGTCTGTTGTTGAAGCCACCTGTCAATGGTCTTTTGTTACGGCCACCCGAGCAGACTAACACACCAACTCCTCAGTACTTCCAGGAGAATGAATGCGCCCGGTGCGCAGCATTCTACGGCCGCGTTGACCAGCTAGGGATCACAGCCCATGCTTCCCGTTCCATGGCAGAGAGTAGACTCTAGGAAGCAGCTGCCCAGCGGGGGATGGCACGTCCCAGCCCCTGTATCAAGGCACTCAAGGCTCATACTTCAGGCTCCTCTAAAGTATGTCCTACTATGAGCCATGGTTCCCGACGCCCAAGGACACTGGGCTGAAAATGCTTCATGCTGTCACAGTGATTGAACAGCATGCTGGGCACACTGACCACAAAAGTGGAGCCACAATGCCCCAAACAGGAAGTCCCACAGTGCAAAACTGGCTGACACAGAAGGAGATCCAATTCAAAATGACTAAAACTGTGTCTGACGACCAGGAAACCAGAAGCTTGTCCGGGTCGTACTCTGGCTCCCACTTATTGTGTGACTGTGAGCAAGTCAGTAAATGAAATACCTCGGTTTCCTTGCCTGTAAAATGGGGATGATGATGATGTATACCTCATAGGGTCGTCATGAGGATGCACTGAGCTAATTAATGTATGGAAAATGCTGGAGGAGGGGCTGGCACCTCATATGTGCTTTTTTCATGTGTGATGCTGTCATTATATGTATTACTCATATTAAGAGATTTAATGGCCACCCTGGCTGTTTAGGTCTTCAGAAATCCCCTCCTCTCCTAAAATGGAAGGATGGCATTTTAAATGTTCTATGTTCAGTTCCTCATTGTCTCTTCCAATAAATACCTCTAAGCTCAGGCCCCTCCTGTCCTTCCCACTAACACCAAAGTTGTTTTTCTAAAAGATGGCAAGTTGTATCATCCCCTTTCACGAACCTGCCATGGCTCCCCAGTGCCCATACACTAAAATCCCACTCCTGAGCTTGAGATCCAAGGCCCTCTTTTCCTGATTCCACCTTCTTTTCCACCTGTTTTTCCATCCCTTCTCCCAACTCCTCTGGGCACCAACACACCCCTACTAGCTGTTTCCAGAATGCCATCATCTTGGCACAGCCAGGTCTTTGCAGGTGCTTCAGTGTCCTGTCTCATCCTCTGACACCTACAGAAATCCTATCCATCCTTCATGACTCAGCTCAAATTCTGCCTCCTCCAGGTTGCCTTCCCTGATTGCCATCATTGAACACGTGGTGGGCACTCCGTAACTATTTGTTGAACGAATGAATGAAGGAACGGATTGCTCCTTCCACATACTCCCACGGTCACTGCTTGTACCCTTATCATCCCAACCCAGTTCAAGTCTCTCATGTCTCTCTGCTCCATAAGCCATGAAGGCAAAGGTGATCCACCCTCTCAGCAGCTGATCATTCAAGATGAAGCAAGAGTTCAAATTCTAAGTCCTCTTTCAAAGACAAATATGGACAAGTCAGATCCCTATCTTGGGATGACATGAAAAAAACACAATCAAGGATCATCAATTGCTGCAAGTGCCTGTAGAAGCCATCTAGGCCCCCTGGTTTTCAAACTATTTTTGGCATTAGAATGAATTTTTCAAGTGAACTTAGACACAGAACCTAAAAATGTCAAAGAGTTAACAGAAGTTAAAAAAAAAAAAAAAATCTGTCTCAGTACAAATGGAGCCCTGATCCCTGTGGCACCTCTGCAAAATCCCAGGGTTCCCGGGATCCCTTTGATTCCCACTGGCTGAGGGTCCCCCTGCATTTTGCACACAGGATGCTGGCCTCAAATAAGGAAAAGCCTGAAAAGCATCCGAGGCTGTTCAGAGCCTGGATTCTGTCTGCCCCGTGCTGCTCCCAAACACGTCTTGTGCTCCAACCACCTAGAGCTACCTGCATTTCCCCAAATGCTTCCTGCATCTCAGGCTTCCGTGCCCTCCCTCCACCTTCAAGACTTGGCTCAGGGATCACCTCCTCCAGGAAGTCTTCCCTCACACCTCCATCCTGCCCTTACCCCTAGGGTGGAGGTAGATCAAAGTAGAAGCCACCACCCAGGAACGGGGTAGCACCTGAGCTTAACACCCTAGGCAGGAGGAAACCAAACCTTCACCTGCAAACCAGCAGCACGGTGTGAAGGGGGCCTGGGAAACCGTACCTAGATCTGATCTCAGAATAAAACAAAGATAGTTCTTATCCAATACATACCTGCGCAGCCTCTGCTTGTGACCCAAGACCCACAAAAAGAGCAAATCAAGAAAATGTGCAAGTTTCTATGCATAAGGCCCCTCCTGCTCCTTTCCCTGGCATTAGAGGCCCTCCGGATCCCACCCCCGGGACCTCCGAAGCCCCCTGTCGCCCAACATTATCCCAGGATACCCACAGTCCATTCAGAAGGAACTGAGACACCCTCCCCCCGACCCTCCCCCGCAGTGTTTCCCCCATCTCTTCCCGGAGGGCGCGGCTGGTGTCACTCTCTTTGTCCCTTCCCTCGTCCCCCCGTGCACAGCACAGGGTCTGCGTCTGCGGGGTGGGGAAGCCGAGCCCAGGAGGCGCCCTGGGGCTCCGCGTGGCCGCAGCGCCCTCTGCCGGCGGCGGCGGGGCGGGCACTCACCGGGGCGGGCGCGTTCACCACCGACAGGCTGTAGCCGGAGAGGAAGGAGGAGCCCAAGGCGCCCGCGAGGGAGGCCGCGAGCAGCGGGCGGGTCAAGGCCTGGAGGGAGAGGACGGCACGTCAGAGCGGCGCGGACGCGGCCCGCACCGTCCCCTGGGCTGGGGAGGCCGCCGCAGAAAGCCCGCCCGGGTCCGCGGACCGCACCCAGCCTCTGTAGCAGGTTTCCCGTCAGCGGCCACAAGCTGCTGTTTGACCTGGGTTTGGCCGGAGTCTGGCCCGGACAGGAGCAAAAAGCAAAGACTAAGTCGTGGCAGCAGGAGCCGGCTCCTGTGGAGTGCTGTCTGCGGGCGAGCTTCTAGGCGGTTCCTCCAGGAGTCCTTACATCAGGACCCTTGCATTCTTTCACAGGGGAAAGGGATGCACGGAGCTGCCCCTCGTGCTGCCTGGGACGGGGACTGGAGCCCAGGTGGTCTGGTTCCAGTGCCCACGTAGTCACCACTGCACCACACTGCCTCTCCCCTGCTGACCCCTCACCTGGGGGCGGCATGCAGGAGCCTGAGACAGACACGTGCACGCACACACACACATGCACGCACACACATGCACGCACACACATGCACGCACACACACGCATGCACACACTGTTTCAGGCTGAGGCTGGTCTGAGCACTTCAGGACAAGGACCTGCAGACAGAGAGACAGAGCTTGGCGCCGAGAACAAGGCTTCTGCCTCCATGTGGTCCTGCCCTGTGGCCCCAGCCAAGGATGACCATGGCCACAATAAGGCCTTGGAGCAGAGACATATGGACCACATAGCAAAGGCTGACCATCTGGTACCGAGCAGGAGCAGGAGGGACTGCCATCCTAGGCTGGCCAAGGGATGTGGGCTGGATGGAGGGGACCAGGCGCCCGGCAAGGTACTTTTTCTGCCATTATTTAGCATACAATCGTGTGCCACATGACATTTCATTCAAACATGAACCGCATATATGACAGCAGTCCCATAAGATTATAATGGAGCTAAAAAGTTTATATTGCCTTGTGGTGTTGTAGCCAGTGTATTGTTGTACGCGACTCATTACTCATGTGTTTGTCGTGATGCCAGTGTGAACAAACCTATTGCAAAATACGTTGAAGAGTGCCTGGCTTGCTCGTTGGGTGACCCACCCAAAGATAGGAAGCCAAACTTTTGACACATTAGGTCTGACCCCAAGTGAAAGGGTTGGTGTCTACTTTAGAATTCTTGCATTTTTAAATGATTCCCACCCATCCCCATGGCAACGTAATAGTCAATAACAGTTAGCTAACACTTGCGAGTGCTTACTGATTGCCAGGCACAATCCTTACCTGTAATTAAATTTTCATAACTTTGTGGGGTGGCATTATTCTAATCCTTACTTAACAGATGAGAAAATGAGGCACAGAGAGACTTAATAACATAATTAGAGGCCCCGCGCTCATGCAACTAGTGACTGGTGTAGATAATAGGAAAGTTTACTGCTGTTCCCTTTCATAATATACTTTGCACAACGATGAAATCGCTTAACGATGCATTTGTCTGAATTGTATCCCTGTTGTGAAGCGACGCATGACTGTATTTGTGTGTGTGTGGATCTGTGTGTGTGTGTTCTCGGTGCTAGGCCTGACAAAGCGCCAGGGATCCAGCATGAATAAGACAGACAAGGTCCACAGCTCTGGGACCTGATCAGTTGAACAGTTTGGAAGGGGTTGCAGGTTTCTGACAGCCAGTTCCCTGCTCTGCTCACCTTCTCAGCCTTTCTACCTGGACTCCAGTACCGGATGGCTCCACCACTCAGATGTGGGAGCCTGAGCAAGTTACTTGCCTCTCCTGGGTCTCAGCTTGCTCACCTGTAAAATGGGATCTTAACAACAAACTGGATGCATAGGTTGTTGAGAAGTTGATATATTGTTGGATGTGGACATGTGGAGTGCTGCGTGCACGTAGCGAGTGCTCAGAAAGACTTTTACTCTTTCCGTTTCTCTCTCTCCACTCCCTTCTGATCCAGCCATTGCCCGTATAAACATGCCAAGGTCACTATGTCACCCACCTGAAGTCCTCCCTCTTAGATACTCTTTCACATCTCGGACCCATTGCCAATGTCTCCTCCTCTAAAGAGATTCTCTGAAAGCTGCGCTTTCTCATTTTTACATTTCTCTCTCTGATTCAACCTTGTCTGACGCCCTGCTCTACCACTGCTACTTATAACTGTGTAACCTTTGGATGGTCACATGGCCACTCTGTGATTCTATTTCCTCATCCTTAGAATGGGGATGATCATGGAGCCCACCTTGTAGGTTGTTATGCACAAGAAGGGAGTTAAAACAGGTGCAGTCCTCAGAAGAGAGCCTGGCACATGGCAGGTGCCCATGAGTGTCAGTGGCAGAGTCTGGACAGAGGGCGGGGGTCTTCCTTTTTGAGGGCAGGGGCCTTGCTTCTTGTTGTCTATCTGGGCATATAGCCTGCGGCAGAGGAGTTGCTCAGTAGATGCTGGTGATCAGATGCAGGGTGAGAGGGAGGGTTTATAAGCAGGGTGAAAGGGGATGGGCATTGCCAAATGTGGGACCAGAATATTTTTCTGCAGGAAGAGAAGCTGCATTCTCCATCTCCTTTTTGTAAAAAACTCTTCCCCTGGGTCTCAGCTCAGATGCCACATCCTCTCAGCCACCAGACTGTGCTGGGCATCTTTTCTGAGCCCTGTGTCTACGTCGTTTCCAGCCTCTATCACCTTAGAGGACACAGATTCTTCCCTTGTCTGCACCCCATCAGATGGAGAGCTCCTGTGTGAGGGGACCCTGCCACAAGGTGGAGAGGGCAGGTGGAAGCCGTCTCCTCCTGCCTCAGCCTCTCTCCCTGAAGCCCCCTGCCCCTGCATGGCTCACCTGTACCTGCTACCTCCTCCCCACTGTCTCCAGGGGCACAGGTTGCCCATGGACTGACAGGGCTGCTGCCTGTGCCCTGTCCTGGGGAAGGGGAGAACAGGGGCCCCACCCAGCAGGTGAGAGGCAGTTCTGCATGTGACCTTGTTCCATGTGCACAGCCAGGCAGCCAGAGATGCTGTCAGGCTGGTGAACGGATGCACGGAGGCTCGGATGCTCGGAGGCTCGGAGAGCTGGAGCACCGTGCCGAGCTCACACTCACCGTGAACCATGCTTCTAACTCAAAGCTGAGCCACAGCAGCTGCCAGGCCAGGGCTGAGCACCGTCCCGCACACCCGGATGCCCCACAGTCCCCCGGCCACACGCAGGCTGCTTTTCCCATTTACCTTTCTCCTCCCATCTGGCACGCTGTGTCCTGAGTGGTGACAGTCGAGCGGCTCCCTCCCCAGCCCCAGAGGCCCAGGGCAGCTCCCGCCTCCTGTGAGGGGAGCAAAGCTCAGTTCCTTGGAGTCCATGCTTTGTGACAGCCCTGGTGGCCCAGCTGACCGCTCAGCCCTAGAGGCTCCAGATTCTGTCAGGCATCTCCGTGAATGAGGTGGCAAAGTCCACGGGAAAGAGGGCGGGAGCGCCGGGACAGGAAATGTGGCCACGTGACTGTGCCTGAACAGGAAATGGGGTAACACTTTCTCCCTGCTGCCCTGTCATTACAGCGACCAACCAAAAGGTCCTGAAGCGGCAATCTGTCCTCCCAGGGTTCACCACCCAGGAGGTGAACTTTTTTTTTTTTTTGGCATCTTTTTATTTTTCTCTCTTAACAAGGCCAACATTCCTGGAGAGGGTGACAGGCATAAACCCAGGACATCTTCCTAACGATGGGGACAGAACTTTGCCTTAAAAGCCTGGGTGGCATTCCAACCCTGACTTTCCACTTTTTAACTGTGTGTCCTCAGGAAAGTCAATTTATTTCTCTGAGCTACCACTTGTATCAGTGCAAAAGTGGATATGGACCCTGTCCGATTGCCCATGGAGTTGTTCTTAGGCTCACATGGAAAACACACAGCACCGGCTTCCCTGTGACTCTAGAACAAAAGGGGAGGCTGTGGGTTTGGAAGAAAAAGAATTTGCCTTTTGGTCATTACTCTGTCCTGCTCATCAGCACTGACTGGCCAGGTGCCAGCCCTGAGCTGGCTCAGGGAGAACTTAAGGAGACAAGAACCTCATACACAACAGGACGTCATGAGAATTAATTCACTGCAAGACTGACTTGCCCCAGGTGTCGGGGATGCACCTTCAATTGTGGTTGGGGCAGGCTGCCTCTGCCGTTTGCTCCTAGAGGCCAAGAGCAAGTGCAGAGGTGGGGTCAGGGCAGAGGCATGCTTGGGGAATGCAGACCGCCTAGAAGGCAAGGGCAGGGCTCAAGACCACAAGAAAGAGACAGAGAAGCCAGCAAACTGGGTTTAATGAGAAGCATGCATTAAAATAAAAGATGTGGAGAACTGCAGACAGGCTGGGAACCTGAAAGTTCAAATGCACTGGAAACATCCGGCCCCGCAAAGCACAGCAGTGGGGAAACGGCTGCTCAAAGCAGACAAGGAACCAAAGCTTTCAGAAGCAAAAACCAGCCCTCAATAGTCGGGCTAGTGACATCCTGAGTACTGAGTCATTCCGTGCGATGATCAGTCTGCACAGTCATCAGTCAGGGGTACCTCTGGGAGAACCGGCTACTTCCTGGATTGGTTTGCAGCTGCTTGGCCTGCTTTTCCCACTGAGCTGTAGGCCCAGAGGAGGATTCTAACAGTGAAACACTCAATTACAACATGACATGTGAACGGCAGAGGGTCCCCAGGACAGTGCAGAAGAGGCACCCACCAACCTCAGCTGGATCACAGAGGCTTTCTGAGCAGACTCCCCAGGATGAGTAAGCCCAGGGCATGTGCAGGTGGGGGTGGCTGGGAGGCCATGGGGCCAAGGCCGCCGTGTGGACGCCTGGTGCACATGGGGAAGCAGAATGGCCAAGCGTGGTTGGGGTCTGAAGTGCAGGAGGGGGCCAGAGGAGGGACAGGGATAGCCGCATACCTGTGCAGTGAAGACCCCCCCAACCCATGCCACCCCGATGGGGACTGTATATTCATCCTCTCATTTCCTCTTCTTCACCCCATTGCCTCGACTTTTTTCTGTGCATCCTTCTTGGTCTCCTCATCTGTAACAGGGGGTCTTACCACATCTTGCTAAAACTCACATTGGATCAGGTGACCCCTGTTTCCCCCCATTTAAAATTGTTCCATGACTCCCTGCTAAGATTGAAAACTCAAAAGGTGCCAGGAGCCAGGCTGTCACCACAAATGCACAACCTCAGCTGAGCATAAAGGAAGAGGAAGGGTGGCAGGTCCCTCCCTGAACCAGGTGGCAGCTCACCAGGGCTCCCCATTATCCAGAGCTCCCTCCTGACCCTCATCTCCTGTTCATGTCTGCACTGCTTTCTTCAGTGCGTTCACATCATGATACTGTCCCATCAGCCTTCAGAGGAGCTGCTAGTCCTACATAATGGGGAAGAACCAAAGTGCAGGGAGAGCGTGGATTCGTCCACCTCCAGATCCACACAGTTATCCCATTCCACCTGGACTATGGCCCTGTGCTCTTGAAAACGAACTCCTATCATGGATGTGGTCACGAACCGAACGTTCCTGGGTGTTCTTGGCTGGGGAACATTCAGCCTGTGCTGATTCCTCTTGCTCCTTCGTTCACACACTCATCCACCCACATTCACTGAGCTCCTCCTTGCCATGCTCAGGCTCTTCCTCCCCACTCCCCTAAACTTTGCTCATCCTTCCCTGCTCGGCCCCCCTCCAGCTCCTCCCAGACACCTCCCTTGACCTCTGGCTGCCCTGCCCTCCCCTCTGCACAGAAGCTCACCAAGGACAGGGACTGTGTTTCTTATAAGCTGAATTGTGTCCCCCAGATTCCATGTTGAAGTCCTATCTCCCAGTACCTCAGAATGTGACTATATTTGGAGACAGGGTCTTTAAAGAGGTGATTAAGGTAAAATGAAGTCATTAGGGTGGGCCCTAATCAAATATGCCTGGTGTCCTTATAAGAGGAGGCATTTAGGACACAGACATGCACAGAGGAAAGACCATGTGAAGACACAGGGAGAAGATGCCATCTGCAAGCTGGGACAGAGGTCTCAAAAGGAACCAGCCCTGCCGACACCTTGATCTCAGGCTTCCAGCCTCCAGCACTGTGAGACAATACATTTCTGTTGTTTAAGCTGCCCTGTCTGTGGTGCTTTGTCACGGTGGCCCTTTCAGACTCATACAGTGTCCCAAGCCTCTTTGTATTCCTGAGGCCTTCCTCCCACCTGGCTCAGGGAAGGGGCCTGATAGAAACTTCTAGAACTGAACTCGACCTGTCCTCTGGATGATTTCCCAAGGCTAGAGAGCTGGCTTGACCGAAGTGAAAACTAAGTGAAAGTTCTCTAGCAGGAAAGGGTTGAGAAAAAAGGGGAGTTTTCTGTTCAATACTATTTAAACAGAATGTTTGAAATGACTACATCCTTCATTACATCAAATACCTCGACAGTGGATCCTTGACTCGCCTAATATAAGCACCAAGAAAAAATGTCCACTTAGAGGGAATTGCTGTCTATTTAACGTGATTCTTCCATGTTCCTGTGTGACCTGAGGCAGGTGGCTTCACCTCCCTGAAACGCCGTTTTATACTTGAATGAGGACAATGATGTTCAGCTTGTCAATTTTACACTTACTTGGCGATTTAGTGAATAGACTTGTATTGATCCTTGTTCTGCCAAATACAGATTTATTACAAATATGGGCATATTTTCTTTCCAGTCACTGTAGCCTCCATGTGTGTCACAGGAGATTAGGCACAGATGGGACAGGGCTTGAGACCGCTCCACCTGGTACCAGCTACACAGCCTTGGACAAGTGCCTCCAGCCCTCTCTGAGCCTCAGTTCCTCACCTGCAAAAAAGGGATAGCGATTCTTTCACCAGTGCAGAGAAGCAAAGGGAAGACCCGTGTAAAGGTCCAGCGGAGTGGGGGCTCTCCAGCTGTCGACTCTTGAAGCCAGTGTACAGAAGGGGTTTGAGGAGTCCTAAGGAGGGAAAGACTTGGTAGCCACTGAGGACTTCCTGGAGGAAGGGGCAGGTAGAGTGGGGGATGGGTTTTGGTGTATCCTTAAGGGTGCTGACATAATCATCTTCAACATCGCTGTCCCCTCGCTCTCAGTACCATCCAGATCATCGATCTCCTGAGCCTCATCCCACACACTGTACAATTCACATGGCTCCTTGCCGTGGACCTGCTTCCAGCAGCTGCTCACAGTCCTCTCTGGCCGGCCTCACCTATGCCTTGCTTCCCCTGGGAGGAGGCCTGGGGAGGGTCAAGGGGGCTCCGCCGTGGGGTCACCAGAAAGCTCCTATAAGAGAGAGAGAAAGAAGCCAGGCGTGACTAATGTATTTTTTTCATTCACTCTCTCTGTTTCCTGCTGGGTCCTTTTCACTGAGCTTCCTGGTTTATTTTTCATATTTTAGACTTTCATTGTTCCCGAGGAAGAGAAAAAAGGAAGAAGACTTTAGACACTTCCTGTCACAGATGGGTGAGTCACAGGAGGTGGCCCCAAACAGCCTTTAAAAGGTTTACTTGAGGGGCCCTGGCAAGGACACCAGTGTGCAACACAGCAATGTCCTCACTGTCCCCTCAGGGCCTGGGCACCGCCCTGCTCTTCCCTGGCCTCAGTTTCCCCATTATGAGATGTGGGACTGGATTACATCTCTGCTGCCCACGTGTGCCTCATTGTTTACTAAATACAGTCTGCTCTCCAGAATGTTCTCATTCAGAAGGTAGTTCTCATGATGGGCCACATTTTGGAAACACTAGACTGTCTCCAAGATGTGCAAATAAAATCAGTGCAAATTAAAACAAAGGGCCAATCTCACCTGTCAAATTAGAAACAATTACCAAAATTGTACCCCAAGTCACGGGCATGAGAGGTGGAAAAGTGCACAGATATTCTGGAGTTCGGAAATATGTTTTGAGAGCCATAAAAATATTTATGCCCTTTGGTCCAACTAATCCATTTATAAAAATGTATCCTAAAGCAGGAATAAAAATGTGCACAAAGATTTAAGTCCAAGACGGTCACTGTAGCATTTTTTGTGTTTGAAAAATGTTACTTACAGTAGGAAAAAATATCTGGCAGGAAAGTTTGAATAAATTAGGGCACATCCATATGACAGAAATGCATATAGTCCT